ACTACGAACCTACTCCAACTTCCGAAATTCCATTCCGACCCCGATATCAAATTTTCCACTGCCATCCGAAATCGCCAAATTTTCAATTTCGCCAATTCAAGCCTAATTCTACCATGGACCTCCAAATCACATTCCGGACGCACTCGTAAGTCCAAAATAACCTAACGGAGCTAACTGAACCATCAGAATTCAAATCCGAGGTCGTTTACACATAGATCCATATCAGGTCTACTTTTCTAACTTTTTTTTTTTAGAAAAAAAAATTTATAAGACTAGGTGTCTCATTTCACTCCGAGTTCTCTCCGGACCCGAATTAACTAACCCGATAAGTCATAAATCAATTGCAAGACATAAATTGAGCAGTAAATGGGGGAACGGGGTTATAATATTCAAAACGACTGGCCGGGTCGTTACAAAAGCAAAGCCATAGAGGTGCAGGTTCTTTCATCTAACATTATTCAATTTTAAGCTAGAACGGAGCAAAACCAGATATTATCTGCCAAGGATAACTCGGTTTACAACATCAACAGGCAACGCATAAGCAGGATCTATAGGTTTTATTCCTGGATATTCAAGAAGTGAAAGCCCTGCATTACAGAAAAACCAAAGAATAAGTAAGCACAATTGGGTCAGCAAAAGTCAATCTAGTCTCATGGAACATCCCTAACTTTGCTTCTAGTTTTCATTACTTGACATATTTTTATCACTTCAATAAACAGCATATTAGAAAGGCCAGGAGTTGAGCAAGGCCACTGGTGTAGGAATGTCTCTACAGTATAAAAAGTTGTTCAGGACAAAACTGGGAATGCAGCAACTTACACCGGTGGACGCAACACAGTTTAGATGATAGATCCTCCAACAGTCCTATGTGCCACTAGTATTTTTTTTTTTTTTAATTACATAAATCTGGACCTTCTAGAATCACCTTGATGCAAAAGACGCATTGCAAGATCTTTCACAGAAAACACAACTTAAAACTAGATATCAGATACCAAACCTCTATCAGCTGGTTATGATTTATGAACATCCTTATTAGCTTGGATCTCATCTAGGTTTAGCATGCAGATGTAATCAGTAAAAAAGATCTATGACTCTATGTTATTGTGGATCAGCTTCAGGTCTTCTAAACGAAAACTTCTGAGATTACATCCCAAAACATGATGTGAACGTACTATACTTTGAATGATGAACCATGGTATCATCAGAGAAAAATACACATTAACCATTTCACAATACGGCCCCTTACCAGCAACTCCAAAGTAAGTATGGAAGACATCAACTGCATCATCTGGCCTATCTGAAATTCCACCATTCTCCTTATCCTACATCCATGAAAGGAATAAAACTCATACTTAACAAAAATGTCGGACAACTAAAACAAAAAATATAGTATCTAATCCCAAGCTTCAAGTGAAAGGGAGTTGTTATATTGACATGTAACCTGACAGTCCAGAATAAACTTTACAAGCTTCCCCTTGTCAATCCAATGGACCCTGTCAATCATAATTAAGCTGGAAAGAACCCACCAAGAGTAGCAGACCTGCGAGGAAACAACATGAATAATAATAAAATTCAAAAGTGACTTGTCAATAGAAATTTCAATGAGCAAGAGTGACAAACATCAGGAAGCTTCTCTGGGCGCCCATTTAGACCTCCAGATTTGACTTGTCTTTCACATAACCACCAACCAAGGAGGTCCTTATCAACATGATGTAGAGACCCTGTAATTGCGAGAGCTGCCACACAACAGAAAACTGCAATGGTAACATAGTCAAAATTGTGTTACGGTAATGCAGCAATAGGCAACTCAAAATGTTAAGAAGACTGCTGGAAATATGGAACTAAGTGGAATATAGAGGTTGAAAACCAATGAAGAGATGCTGCTTTTCACTAACAGAGATGCCATTACTGTCATAGCAAAGGAACATATTCGTTCTGCAAAACCTATTCCTTTCATGTGAGAGAAAGAAGAAATCAAAGGAAGGAAGGATTTTTCTCCAAAGCATTCTCAGATTATGTCCATTAGCTGTTCATCAATCTAGGTCCCACAAACTGATCCATCCCCTCGTGACTATGTCAAAGCTGCTGACAACTTGGACTACTACTCAACATCAGTATGGCATTATCTTTTAACTTATCATTTATCTTTTTGGTTCTTGCCAAGCCGGTTGCTGATGAGGATGCTTCTTGTCTTGGTTGGTGATAAAATGATGTCCAGATCATGAACTCAGGTTAAACTGATAGTCGGGCACTGATTTTTTTTTTTCTGATAACAGAGAAATCTTTGAGGACTAGTGGATAATAGGCAGTCCGGCTTTGATATCTTAGGAATTAATTAGAACAATCAGGGAATGGATCCCTTTAGTAGCAGTAAATTCAAATAAAAACTTCGTGCGGATGTTTTCCAACTCCGAAATCAATAGAGTTAGACTTCACAGTAGAATAGACGATCTCACTTGCTTTACAGTTTAGAAGCCACTGTAAGTATGATAAATTGCATGATTTCTATATGTGACATACTTTACCCAGCATGAGATTCTGCTCCTGGTGTGCATCCAAATCCACCATCCACATTCTTGCAACTTAAAATATATTTCACTGCTTTTCCAACATCAACCTTATCTAACTGATGCATCAATGCGAGTGAAAGGATCGCAATGTAAGAGAACCTACACAAAGTATATTCAGGTCATTATATTTTCATTTCTCAAAAGAAGGATCATACATTCCCAAAAAAAACACAAGTATCTAAAGATATATGGCTTAAACCTTGGCCTTATAAGTAACTTTAAAAACTAGAAATCAAATAACGGATCCTAAATTTAAAACAGCAAACAAAGATAAGCTGCTACCGTGTATCGACTTCACCCCATATGTCACCAGAAAAGGATCCATCTTCATTTTGCAGGGCTGCAATATCTGGCTGAAAAGTTAAGCTCACCACAGCGACACCCAAATTACTTAATAGTACTTCACACTGCCAATTTCGAGAATGCCGCCTTTTGTGATGAGTACTCTTTATATTAGTTTGACCATGTTTTTTGTTTTGTGATGTTAAAATGGGAAAATGAGTAAATGCTAGCATTGCAGCAGAGTTCATAGATGTTATACATAGATCGAAAAGATATGTACATGGAACCTCCAAAGCAGTCATAAATGTCAGAAGACATGAAGTAGGATACAACTCGACACCTTATCAATGTCAAGAACATGTATTTTATCACATAACGCCAAGACTTGAATAGCACTAAGTGTATACAGCACGTGCGGATCATGTCCAATATTACCACAAAATCCACCTGCATATTATACAAATATAGAAGTGAACCTATACATACAGATCAAATAGATCAGAACATGAAGTAACTCCCTCTCAAGGGAATAGAAAAGACAAAAACAACATCCATTAAAAAAAGCAGTAGGCATAGTATAGCTGCAACATTGAAACACCGACAAGAATTCAATGCGAGAAAGAAAGAAAGAAGAACAAGATACAAACCAGATTCGTGTTGGCACTGCATGACCCATGAAATAACTTCATCTTGCTCCACAGCAGCAAGCTTGCCCATGATATCCAGAGTTGTCAATCCCCAATATGCCCCATTTAATCTTAGATGCTCCATCACCACAGATTCAAAATCATCTTTCCTCTGAAGGTATATAGGCACGTATTAGAGAAAGCAAATGATAGAGTGACAAGAAAAGTGCTTTGGTGGGTTGGAAAAGAAATGAACTCCTATAAAGTACTTAAATTCCATAAAGGATATGTACGAAGGAATCATCTCACGGGCGTGAGAATGATGGGAGGAGATATAAAGAGCATTTGCACAAAGTGAGATTCTTCGTCTGATCAAAGATGAAACCAAAACAGTAGAAGTGCAATTCCAAATAATCTCATTCAAATAATTATAAATCATTGCAACATCCCACATTTTTAGGTATCAAGGATGTCACTAACAGTAAGGGATAAATCTCAAGGATCAATCCCGCAGTCAATCATATCTGAAAGACTACAAAACCATCCCATCTACCAGAGCAAAAGGGAAATTCCAGAGCCATTCCTTATGTTCAAGCAACACCATGTACCACTTCTTTAAGGCTGGCTATGATACCATTCCAAATTTGAAAACCATAATTATGGAAGTTCAAAAATTACTTGTCTGAATTACTCTAAACTGAATGATATTAGGATGTTCAAGAAGGATGTATCGTACTTTAGCAAGTAGAGCAGAATTGGTATCATGAGAAGTACTAATGCCTATGCCCCATTCTGTTTCTCCTTCACAACTCTGTTCCAACCATCCGGTGTACTTTCCTGGCTTAAAGAGTATCTCCCTACAAGAATATACTATTTAACTTGTTGAAAGTATTAAACACATTGTAGGAGCCTAGTTATTTGCTTTGAGTACACAGGTATCTGAGTGACAGATTGGATCAGGGTAGCGCAACCGCCTAAGCTCAGATTTCTAGATATCAAACCATAGAGTCTATTGGACGAAAGGCAGAAAAAATCAGTAGTTATGAAACAAGATGAGTACCTTCTCAACTGTTAAAATGTACTTTACATGTTTTTCTACCAGCAGCTCCCCCATCCTGCAGTTATCATGGCTCAGAACTCAGATAATCAAAATAGGCCAAAGTGGAAGATCAAAAATATGACTCTATTAATACAAGGTCCTGCTTTCGTTTTACATCCTATTTTCAAACTTGTAACACAGCCCTGCTAAAACCAATCTTTTACAGTATCTTTGAACGCTCCTGAACCAATAAAATGTTACCGACTCTAAGTCTCTTCAAAGATTATCTTTCCCGAGCCATCAACATCAAAATACCTATTCGCAACCACCATTACTACACAACCACGTACTCTTCTTGAGTTCAAACTCATTGACAGACATGAGAATTTAATTTGCCCCAAAATTTAACAACGTGAAAGATCCTTCAAAATATTCACACTCGAGACGGTACGTCGCATCAAAATGAAAATCAAGCACCCAATGGCCTTCCTTTACATTTTAAGAAAACACTTCTCGTCACATTTACATAGTCTTAACACTTCCCGCAGTTACGCCATACTCACCACAAAGCCATTCCACTTCTCATCGAGCCACAATTCTACTCGTAGGGACATTATCGGGCCTATGAGTCCAAATGTATAGGTTACGATTAAAGCTACCAAGCCAAAACTACGGTTTAAACCTGTCCGCAAGTCCTCCGGACTAGCCCATCACCAAAACACATAATACACATCTCGAACCTCGTTCATAGAATCACAAACCGGCGATGCACAACAGATACCGAGCGCTCATGTGCACATACGAATGCGTGGAAGGAATTCAAAGAGTTATGTTTCAAGCTGAATAAATTTCACACGATAGAATACAAGAAAGTGAAATTTTCCTAAAGGTTCTGCAGCCTCCTAAAGATAAGTACATACGTCTCCGTACCGATCCACAAGACTCTACTAAACCCGCTCATGACTCTATGTAACCTAGGCTCTGATACCAATCTGTCACGATCCAAAACTAACCCCTGTCATGATGGCGCCTATCGTGGAACAAGGCAAACCGACTCATTTCCAAAACAAACCGATATTCTCATTTTAAAGATAATATCACGGTTATTTAACATAAAAACCTTCGTAAAGGAGTTTCAATCAACATCGGGGTGTCACTAGTCATGAGCATATACTACAATCTGTCTAACAATATCAAGGCTAACTCAGCCCGGAAAATAGCTAAACACAACTAGAGGAAGATAAGATGGAGAAGAGCAGGGGCTGCGATCGCCAAACAGCTACCTTGCTATCTCCAAGAAAATCTGCAACCAGAACATTCAATAACTGCTACCGTGTCCAGCTACACCTGGATCTGCACACAAGGTGCGGGGAGTAACGTGAGTACGCCAACTCAGTAAGTATCAACAATAAATAAAGACTGAGCAGTAGTGACGAGAAATAAAGCATATAATGTTCATATCAGGAAATCTCAGTAAAATACCACATGCTCTAAAAAAATCAGGATTTGAATCAAACATCTCATTTAAACCCAGTTCCAGTAAGAATCATTTAAAGACATTTTTCCAACAGTTTTTTTTCAAACAAAGGCTCAATGCAAAGGTGAGTAAAAATGATGAAATCATAAACAGCCCCGCAGGCAAAACATCACTCATATACACAGCCCATCGGGCAAACCTCACAGTCACTCGTGCCACTCGGGCATACCTCACAATCATTCTTGCCACTCGGGGATACATCACAATCACTCTTGCCTCCCAGTCACTCAGCACTCGGCATTCGGCACTCGGCACTCGCACTCATTAGGTACCTGCACTCACTGGGGGTGTGTACAGACTCCGGAGAGACTCCTTCAGCCCAAGCNTAAGGGTCCAAACAGCATTGGCGCAAGGCCCAAACATGGCATTCAGCCCAATTTACAGAAAATCATTCTAAAACATATAAGTATCAATGGTTTCAACAAATTATGCAACTTTGCAATTGCTACGGGGCGGACCAAATCACAAATCCCCAACAGTCCACGCCCACACGCCCGTCACCTAGCATGTGCGTCACTTCAAAATAGTAGAATGATACGAAATCTGGGGTTTCATACCCTTAGGACCAGATTTACAATCGTTACTTACCTCAAAACGAGAAACTTTTTACTCTGCTATGCCTTTGCCTCGCAAATCGGCCTCCGGATGCCTCGAATCTAACCACAAATAATTCGTTTCAGTCAATAAAATTCATTGGAATTAATTCCACAAGATAATAATAATTTTTCCATAAAAATCCGAAACTTAGCTCAAAAATCTCCCGTGGGGAACACGTCTCGGAACTCGACAAAAGTTACAAAATCCGACAGCCCATTCAACCACGAGTCTACCCATACCAATTTTACCAAAATCCGACCTCAACTCGACCCTCAAATCTACAAATCTTATTTCTAAATTTTTAAGTTTCAATCTCCGATTTACACCTCAAAATCATATAATCTAGTCGGATTATTCGATAATAATTCAATATTATGGAGTAGAAATGATCACAAGGGACTTACCTCAAGTTTTTCTTGAAAATATATTAAAAATCGCCTCTCCTCAAGCTCTAATTTGTCAAAAATGGCAAAAGGGACGAAGTCCCTGTTTTTATAATTCTGCCCAGACATCCTCGGTTCTGCCTCGATATTGGCCTTCGATCGAGGTCTTCGATCCTGGTCCTCGGTCCTGCCCCTCGATCTTGGTTCTCGATCCTGGCCCTCGATTATGGCTTCGA